TGCTACTTTCCCCCTTATTTTGATATTATATCTATATTTTTAGAAAATTTTATAAAATACAAATTAATGAAAATTTGTGTCATTTTGTTCAAATTAGTTAAGTACTGTAATCACACTAAGCAATTGGTCAAGTTGCACGCGCAAACCATAGATTTGTGGCTCGCTTTTATCATTAAAGTTAAAAATTAAATGTTGTAGAACATTTCTTGATTAAATCATTTCCTCTTTTTTAACCAATAACAACTAATATAGATTTTTTTTAATGACTTTCTGTATTTAAAATTGAATCTGAAATCTTCTTTTAAACGGTTAAAATGTTTTATTAAAGTTTTTGAATTTTTTTTTTTATTTTTGTACAGATATAAAAGATAGGAAGAAAAAAATTTCAGAAAATTATTCGTTATATATATGTGTAAAGACTTAATTTACATACTATAGATAATTTTAATTTAGGAGAAAATATTTTCATAGTTGCTAATTTATTATAAATGAATGTTGCATATTTTAAAATCCAAATGAGATTTAAACTTTGCAAAAGTATATTAAAATTTAATTGTAATTTAATAAATTTCATCTTTTTTGATCAATTTCAGAGTTATCTTTTTTAAACCGTATTGACGAATGACTAATACACATTAATACCATCCTAAAATTAAGATATAATTTAATCGCACTCTTAAACTAATTGTAAATTAAATAGCTGCTTGCGATTGAAGATTCTTAAAGTCAAAAAAAGAGAATAAATCACTGTTATTCATTCTATTTATATTATTATTCATATTATTTATGCTTTTCACATAAGAATTTAAATTACACTAAACCCTCCTAGCTTTATTTGTATAACACAGAATACATATTATTTTATATGTGACGTAAACACAAAAATAATTTAGTACATATAAAATCTACTCAATCAGCAAATATATAAATAATTGGAATTATCCAGCTGAAAATTTCTCACATCTATTGTTTATACAACTAGCATATTGATGAAGATTAGCATTATAATTATAAAAGGTTGAACTGTTAAATCAGTGTATCACCACCAGAATTACATTAAAAACACTCTCCTTTAATGCATTTTGATATGAAGTTTAACACTATTTTTACAATCACAACTTAATTGTATTTTAATTATACTATTTAATTCTCTCATTAAAGTATGTAATTACTAAGCCAAATGAAATCATGTTCTGAAAATTATTTTATAAATTATAATATTACTTTTAATTCATAGATAATTATATTTAAAATAGTTGTGAGGGTCAAGAAAAAGATTATTATTTTAAAACTAATAGAATCTTAGATTAATAATAATGATTAAAATTCAATAAAAACTAAATTTTACATTAAATTAGATGATTAAGCTTTAACTAATGCTTAATTTAAATAAATTATGAATTAACTTTGTAAAAAATTTGAATATGATTCTATTCCACCTTATACAGATTCAATTCAAAAATCTAATTTACTAGAATAAACATTTTTGGTTCTTTTTGCAATCTTTATAAATACGATTATAATTTAAGGAACTTTATAATTAATTCAAAATTTTTAATTTAAAAATATTCTTTAATCCTAAAGGTAGAATTACAACCCCTAAGACAGAGAAAGATCATATTAAATAAGATGATGATTTTTGATATATATGTTTTATAAGAATTTAATCAAAATCAAATTTCTTTTTTAATATTCCCTTTTTAGTATAATATTAAATTTATTGATATACCGATTTATCTATAAAATATACTTATTAATACCTTTAAAAATTAATTTACATTTAGAGAGAAAATGCTTTGAATGAAATTAGAATATTAGCGTCTCTAGTTTCTCCTTATATACATAATTGAATAGGAATTATTATGAATATATTTTATATTTTAACTCAGTCTTTTGAATTTTAACTAAATTTTGGAAATTAAAAAAAATTTATTTTATTCTCTATTATAAAAACAAT